AGTCAGATGTGTATTCTCAAAGAGTACTGAAGTCTTTGGTCTCATTACAGGTTCTTGGAATCTCAGCACTGGCGAACTACAGAATCCCTAAGTTTGCCTGCCTGCATGACAGACAGATGAACCACTCCTCCGAGGCTCCTCAGTCAGTGTGTACAGAACTACCAGGCACAGATCTTTCCAGGCGCCACCTGCTCCTCACTACCAGGGTGACCAAGACCTGCTCCCCATCCTTCCCTACACTGTATTCTCCTGACACCCTCATGCCTGTGCATTCACACACACACACAGAGTCCCTACGCTGCAAGATGCTGTCGTCCTCACTCCTCTCATGCAGGGCTTCCTCTTGGGTCACAGGTCACAAAAATTATGCAAACACATTCAGCATCATGCTACTAGCTTCTCTGCAACTGGCAACCCTCAAGTTCTGGTATTTCTACTAGGTTCTTACTAACCCTGCACATATCCAGCCTCAGACCACACCACAACTCCAGAGCACAGACTTAAAGACCCACCGACTCTCAGAGTCCACTCTTCTCATGGTTTAACATCTGAAACAGGTGTCAGGGTGCAACACAGCCTCATAGGAGCACTGTTTTAGTCTTAGGAGTCGTTTGTTAAACAATGGTGCATCGTAGTCTTGATGTACGGGATGGAAAAGCCCATAAACAGTGAAAATTATACTCAATGACAAGGTAGCTGCCGTGAGGTCAGCCCTCGAGTCATCACGACCCCACGTACAACAGAACAAAACGCTGACTGGTCCTACACCGTCCCATGATCAGTCGAGGATCAGACCCTTATGATCCAGAGTTCTCACTGGCTGATTTACAGGAGACTGCCAGGCCTTTCTCCCTAGTGTCACTCAGGAAGCCCCACTGAAGCCTGTTTGCAAACCTCCATGGACAGATGGATAGTGGCTGTGCATAAGGCGCCCTGGGTGGCAATCAACCCAGGTCTCCACAGCACAGAGGTGAGAATTCTACCCCTGCACTCCCAGGGCCCTCCCAGCAAGGATTTCCCTCAAGGAAAGAGGGGACAGAACTTACTACCAAGTGCAGGTTAACATGTCAGTGCTGAACAAATCTTTGGGTTAGGCCTTGGCCTGAGGTCCTATATCCTGAACAGGACAATGACAGCATGATCCACAAATACAAAGTGATAAACTGGACTTCATCAGTACAGAAAGACAGCTGTTCCTTAAGAGACATGTCACAGGCTAAAAACCACTATCTGGAAACCACAGATCCAAGAAAGCGCATTTACCAGAATATACAGAGCTTTGGTGGCACACTGGGTTAAGAGATTTGGCTGCTACCAGAAAGTCAATGGTTCAAACCCACCGCCTGCTCTGCCAGAGGAAGATGAGGCCATCTACTTCCATAAAGATTTATAGCCTTGGAAACCCAGTGGGGATCACTGTGAGTCAGAATTGATTCAATGGCAGTGGATTTGGTTTCTTGGTTTAGTGGTGCGGTGGTTAAGTGCTTGGCTACTAAGTGAAAGGTCAGCAGTTCAAACCCATTGGCCACTGTGCTGGAGAAAGATGTGGCAGTCTGCTTCTGTCATGATTTCCGGAAACCCTGAGTCACTGTGAGTCGGAACTGACTTGGCAGCAGTGGGTTTAGTTTTGGTACCCAGAACGTGAATATCCAGGATATGAAGGTCCCTGGGTGACATAAATGATTTGCAATCACCTACTAACTGAAAGGCTAGCAGTTCAAACCCACTCAGTGATGCTGTGGAAAGCAAGTCTGGTGACCGGCTTCCATAAAGACCACAGCCAGGAAGTTCTGTGGAACAGCCCACTCTTACCATCTGGGGCCATCATGAGTCCCCACTGACCCAAAAGCAATGGATTTGATTTGGGTTTGCTTTTTCAAAATTCACAGTATGTGTAGTAAATATGTTCAAACATGAATTATAAAAAAATGACCCATTTACAAAATGGACAAAAGATTTGAACTTTACCAAAAAAATACTTCAGGGCAAATAAACACATCATTAGACACTGTTGTTGTTAGGTGCCATCGAGTCAGACCTGACTCACAGAAACCCCTCCTTGTGTTTCCAAGGCAGAATCACTACAGAAGTAGATTGCCCAACCTTCCTTCCAAGGAGTAGCTGGTGGGTTTGAACCGCCAGCCTTCTGGTTAGCAGTCAAATTACAACCAAATGAGATACTGCCACAAGTCAATCAGAATGGGAAATACATACACACAAGAACCTGACAATAGCCAAGTGCTGACAAGGATTTGGGACTAATGGAACTCTCCAAACAACACAGCCACTTTGGAAAAGAGCTTGGCAGTTTCTAATAAAGATAAATATATACTTACCTACCCTACAGCCCAGTGATCCCAGTCCTAGGTATTTCTCCAAGATAAATGAAAACACAGGTTCATACAACACATGTTTGACTCAGAGAGCGATCAGCCAAAAACAATTAAGAGTGTGAGACATTTAGTTAATTGGGAACAGAAGAAGAAAAAGCACTTACAAAGTGAAGCAGAGAAGCAGTGGGTTCAAAGCATTGAGTGATGTGTCCAGAATGACAGCGCATTTCTCCGTGAAGCCGGAATGACTCTTCGTCACCGTCTCCACAGCAACAAACCCCCAGCACCTGAGAGAACACTGGCATGCCTCTGTCCTCACAAGCTGAGGCAGTGGAACATGGTGCTTATGTCTCTGAATCCTCATGGACCTGATTACCGTGACCATCAAACAATACAGCATGATTACACCCAGCTCTGCTTTTGTCCCTAAACTGGTTTTCTTCATAAATTTTACTGCCCCAGAAGGATCAGCCTACAGATTAAGATTCTCTCAAGAGGCAAGAGACAATTCAAGAGAAGCAGATTATTTTAAGAATGAAGAGAAGATACTGAATTATGAATTCAAGCTGTCACTGAACACACATACTTAAAACCACAGGAAACACAAAACTAGCACATGACTTTTCCGAAATTATGGAAAAGTGATTTGCAAACTGTGGTGTAGTAAATTACCTGGTATGGCTTTTCTAGCTATGAGTCTTTGTAAATTCTGTGGTGGAATTTGCCTTGAGCAACTGAGGAGCTCCTGATTGTTAAAGTTATCCACGTGGGGTATTTCTGTTGCGAGCGGCACAAAGCAATGTTCTGGGAAGTTCGTGCTCTCTCTCAGGTGTTTAGAATTTTAAGTTATGATTGATTAGTTCGGCCACTCTGCCAGGCTCAAAAGGAGCCCTCCTAGAGGCAGAAGAAGTCTCTCTCTCTGACTGCTGGCTGAGAAAAACGTGCTGTTGAGAAAAACGCGCTCCTGAGAGACACGTGCTGCTAAGAATGAGACACCGAGAGACATGCACTGCTGGGAGAGAGACACCGAGAGACATGCACTGCTGAGAGAATGAGAGAGTCTGCTGACTGAGAGATGGCAGGCTGAGAGAGACTGAGCGTTTTTCCTCAACTTGAATTGTAGCCTGGTGCTTCCCTAATAAACCCTATAATCTGTGAGTTCTGTGTGGCCTCCACAACGAATTATCGAACCCAGCAGAGAGGTGGTGGGTGCTGTAGGAGAACGGTTGGTGTCAGGACTGGAGGGAGGTGGCATGTCTGGCCTCGCAGGGATACTGATGGTAATTCTGTCTTCCTCTTGTGGGGTCAGAGGAGGTCAGAAGATGCGGCCTCCCTGCCCCTTTGGCAGTTAAATTTTAGGATGCAGTCAGAGAGAGAGACTTCTTCTGTGCCACTCGCAACAGAAATACGCCAGGTGGATAACTTTAACAATCAGGAGCTCTTCAGTTGCTCAAGGCAAATTCCACCACAGAGTTTACAAAGACTTATGGCTAGAAAAGCCATACCAGATAATTTACTACACCACACAAACATAAAAGTACAACTAGCAGATAACGCACTCTCCCCCATTCCAGGTGACAGTGTTCTTGTGTTTCTGAATATGGTACCTGTCCTCCACACGCCATCTCTACTATTTCATACTGTTGAACATTTCATGCCAAGGCCTGACTCACCCAAACAAGGACAAAGACTCCTTAAGAAAGAGCCTTAACTTCTACTCTTTGTACAAGCCTCTTGTACCTCTTTGTAGTAGGAATTAAGAAAAATGTTTCTTGATGAAAAGGATCAAATTACACATTATACTACATGTAACATTATAGGATCTGTTACGAATTCAGATGAGAAAAGTCAATGAGGCCTAGAAAAGATTCAGGAAGTACAGGTCTTAACAGCCAAGCAAGTTCCAACAGCCTTGAGCTTTTCTGAGCAAAAAAAAAAACTGCCCCTATTCCAAGTCTGGAGAGGTAGACCCAACTGTGGCAGAAAAGCAGGAATCAGAAAGAATGGGTTGATACTAGAAAATTTTGACAAAAAATGATTTGCTAAGCTACTGCAAAAACAAAAATTCTAAATTCTGTATTTCCAAAGCAGACATGACTCAGAAAAGGATGGCACAGCTGACAGAGCAGGGAAAGAGCTGCTCTGAACAAACACAGACTGGGGAAAACAGCTCAGTCGAGTCTGGGATATGATGAGTTTGATGCTGACAAAGGTGCAGGTGGCTGATGGGCAAGGTCACCACATTAAGGAGAACTCAACAGGACCTGACAGGTTAAGGCCCCAAATCATCATACATTTGTTCAAAGATCCACATTTTTATTTTAGTTTCAGAAACCAAGATCTACGGTCAATTAATCTGCACATCCAATGTAGTGGGATTTCTTTTTACTCAAAATAGTTATTAAATCAATGGTCCTTCTTCTATCCGTGGCATCTTATAACCAAGGCTATGTAATAGTGTCACTATATCAGTTTACCAACTCTACCTGCACAGAACTCTCAAAGCAAAATACTATTTCTCTTCCTACTTGCCTGAGTATTACACTCCGCTTTTCCCCACTCATTCATCACTACCCCCGATACTTACACAATATTCCTCAGAGCTTAATTAACGTGGATATCCATACACCTTTGAGAAACATAAAAGCCAAATATAAAAATACATACCACTTTCTTCCCAGAAGGTTCCCAGAGAGAAACATCTCCCCATGATGTGTTATAAAAGAACTTCTCTCCTGGATCAAAGGGTTTAAGGTCCTTTAAAAAAAGAGAGAGAGTGGTCATTGTGGAAATGCAGAAAATAAAGATATAATTAAAACCTGGTTAGAGCACTTGCAGCCTCAAAAATCTAAGTGGGAAATTGGTATGAGAACTCAAGCCCATCAGCAAATTCTGAGAATACCCATTAAGTGAGGACACTGCAGAACTCCCACTTTTCATGGAAGAGACCTGGGTTCGATTCCCGACCAACACACTATGCACACAGCCACCATGTCTCCACTGAAGGCTAGTGCATTGCTATGACGCTAAACAGATTTCAGCAGGGCCTCTACTCTCAGACAGGCTAGGAAGAAAAGCTGGCACTCGACTTCAGAAAACGAGCCAGTGAACATTCTGTGGACAGTAATGGTCTGATCTGCAGCTGTCAGCACACAGCACAGGACAAGGCAGTGTCTCATTCCACTGTGCACAGAGTTGCCATGAGGTGAGGGTCAACTCGAAGGCAGGCTAACCACCACCACAACCCATTAAGTAAGAGAACTGAGGAAAAAGTGAAAATAATCCAGGTTAAATTATAAAAAACAATCAGAAGAGACTTCTGAAAAGTGAGTCTTAGCCCAACACAAATAATTATCTACAATTTGCACCTATCAGCAAAGCCTAGATGTAGGTAAAGATCCTAAAACCCATGTAGCTTTAGGATATAAGGAAACCAAATAGGTCTTCAAAATACAAGAATGTTTATTCTGAATGTGTTCTTCTTCAAAACTATAGCTCACCACCTTTTTTCAATCCATTTGTCTTATAGAATGAAAGGAAAGTCTATTTTCATATCACTCTTTAAATACCTTTAAATACATACAGCCAGTTATGTAAAGGTACAGAACATGTGAGGGTTTCTTCTCACATGGCTAAGTCATCCAGATTACACTAAAAAACAAAAACTCCTACAATTCAACAACTAAAAGACAAACAATCCAATCTAAAAACTGGCAAAGGAGTTAACAGACTTTCTCCAAAAATATACAAATTGCCTATAAGCACATGAAAAGATGCTCAACGTCATTAGTCGCTGTTAGGTGCCACCGAGCCAGCTCCAACTTGTATTGGTCCTATGCACAACAGGATGTAACAGTGAGCAGTGCTGCGCCCTCACCACAATTCTTGCTATGCCTGAACCCATCGTTGCAGCCACTGTGTCAATCCATCTCATTGAGCCTTCCCCTTTCTCACTGACCCTCTACCCTTCCCAAGCGTGACATGCTTCTCCAGGGAATGGTCCCTTCTGACCACATGACTAAAGCAGGTGAGACAAAGTATGGCCATCCTCACTTCCAAGGAGCATTCCAGCTGTACTTCTTCCAGGGCATATCTGTTCATTCTTCTGGAAGTCCATGGTATTTTCAGTATTCTTTGGCAACACCACCATTCAAAAGGCATCAATTCTTCTTCCATCTTCTTTATTCATTACGCAGCTTTCACATGCACATGAAGCAACTGAAAACACCATGGCTTGAGTTAGGTGCACCTCAGTCTTCAAAGTGACATCACTGCCTTTTTTTTTTTTTAAACACTTTAACAAGGTCTTTTGCAGCAGATCTGTCCAGTGCAATATGATGTCTGATTTCTTGACTGATGCTTCCATAGGTGTTCATTGTGAATCCAAGTAAGATGAAATCCCTAACAACTTCAATCTTTTCTCCACTTACTACCCGTGATGTTGCTTAGTCACCAGGGAAATGCTAATCAAAACCACAGTAAGTTACCACTTCAAACCCACTAGGATGACTATTATTAGAAAATAGCAAGTGGTGGCCAAGTAATGGAGATACTGGAGCCTTCCTGCATTGCTGATGGGAATGTAAAGTCATAAAGCCAATTTAGAGAACAGTGTGGTGGATCCTCAAAATTGAACACAAAATGACCACATGACCCAGAAGTCCCTCTCCTGGGTATATACCAAAAAGACTCGAAAGAAGTAAAAAGAAACAAATATTCACAGGAGCATTATTCACAAAGCCAAAAGAAACCACCCAAGTGTCTATCGACAGATGAATGGAAAAACAAAAACATGGTCCATCTATACAATGAAATATTATTCAGCTATAAAGAGAAGCACAGCTCTGATATTCCTGTAATACGGATGAACCTCAAAAACACTATGCTGAGTGTGATGAAAATGATTATGTGCCAACTTGGCTTGGTCATGATTCTCCATAGTCTGGCAGACATGATGTAATCATCCTGCACTGTGTGATCTGACGTGAGCTGCCAGTCAGTTAAAGGGGGATTTTCCTTGCGAGTGTGGCCTGCATCCAATACATATGAATGTTCTGGCAAAGCTCACCCTCTAGCTCCAGCGTGCCCTCTGACTGGCCAATTTCAGGTTCATCAGTCCCTGCAACCACCTGAGTCAGGAGAATCCTCCAATCTGACACCTGACCCATCAGCCATTGTGACTTGGAAGCCTTCACAACTACATGAGCCACTTCCCTGAAATAAATCTTTCTATGGAAGCAGGCACCAAGAGATCAAAGACGCAACAAAACTCAAAATCATAAAAAGACTAGGTTTACTAGTCTGATAGAGCCTGGTGAAACCTCCGAGACCATGGCCCCTAGTTAGCCTTCACGCCTGGAATTGAACTCATTCCCATGGCTTCCAGCCAAATGACAGACAGGCACACATGGTGAACATTTATCCCAGGTAGGAACACTCCACAGAATGATCTATCATGGGAGAAGAGAAGAGCAGTGTTTGCACAGGGAGACAGCTCAGGGGGCAGGAATGCACAGGAAAGAAGGACACAGGGAAGAACTACAGGGAGAAAGTGCAAAGAGAGCTATTACATTGTGGGGCCTGAAGTCAGTATCGTGAAACAAAATATGTAGGAACTGCTGTATTCAAAATGAATTTGCTCTATAAATGTTCACCCAAATCACAATAAAACCTGAAAAAAAGGAAAGTAAAAAAAACAGAAGGTAGCAGATTTTTAGAACGAGAGATTAAACTCTTGTTTTGACCAACTATGCCATTTTTTTTTTTTCAAGGAACAAGATGTATTTTTAAAAGCCTTGAAGGATGAAAAATAGGGTATTACAAACAAAATGAATATAAAAAAAAATTTGCATGCCATGTTTTCACATTCAAAGCTGAGTTGAGATAGCAGAGAAGACTCACCTGTCAGATCTACAATCATTAAATGATGCTAAAAGTATCCACAACAGTTATGAAAACATTAATGTATCAGGAACTTCTTCCTTTTAATTAAGTAATGATGATTACAAACTTCCTCCACAGTATTATAAACTACAAATATTATCAATTCACTTAAGATAGGCCTTTTCCTAGATTCTGAAAGCTTCCCTTCTTCTGTGACACTAGGAAAGACATGACATTTGCAGACACACAAAAAACCAGTAGTAACAATCAGTCCAAAACCAGATTCTGTCAGGCTGGCACTAATGGGAGGTAGAGACAGGGAACAAGATACATAGAATGGATGATATTAAAAACTCCTTTCTTAGGAAACTTTCTTTGTTGGTTACCAGGGGTGGAAGGGGAGGGGAAAGAACACTGCTAGATAGGCAGAGACAAGTACTGTTCTGGGTGAAAAGAAGGGCAATGTACCAAATGTGAGTGATCAACATGGTGGCACTGAAGAAGAGAAAGACATAGAGAGGTGCATGGGAGATACTGACAACAAAAATGAACCCTTTTGCACACACAGTACTATGTTGTCAGTGATGGCTAACATTGATATACGGGTGGACAGATGGGTGGACAAGCTGAACAATCAGGCATATCTAGGCAGGGGGGAGTGTGCCCATGACCATATATAGGGTTGGCAGACAATGTTTCTTCTACAAGTGTATTTGTATGTTCTGTAAGAATTTCCAGGTATATAGTAGAGCTGACAAGGGACAAGGTTGTGGTGAATTCTTGGCCATAACCAGCTACCCGCAGGGAGCGAGTAGTTGGACCCGTGGGCGTGGGACCATGGTCGCAGGGGACATCAAGCTCAACTGGCTTAACATACTACACAAAAACATTGTTCCACATCCTACTTTGGTGAGTAGCAACTGAGATCTTAAAAGCTAGCAAGTGGCCACCTAGATGGAACAATGGGTCTCTCATCATCCAGAGCTAAGAAGAATGAAGAAAACAAAAGATTCATGGAAACAATTAGTCCAAGGGACTGGTACACCTTGAGATCCTCAGCCTATATGACTATGAGACCAGAAGAACCAGATGGTGCCCAGCTACCACTGTCAACCTCTCAGAGGAGGATCTATGTAGGACATCCTGGATAGAATGGGAGAACAATGTGGAACAAAACTCAAAAGAAAGAAAAAAGAGGACCAGGTTTGCTGATCTGATACAGCCTGGTAAAACCCCTGAAACTATGGCCCCTATCTGCCCTTCAGGTCTGCAACTGGACTCACTCCTGTGACTTCCAGCCAAACAAAAGACAGGCATATGAGCTAAACATTTACATTATGTAGATACACTCCTTCGAGAGATCAATCATGGGAGAACAGAAGGGCTGTGTATGCACAGGGAGACAGCTGGGGGGCAGGAGTACATGGTGGGGGGGACACAGGGAAGAAGTAACTGTGGGGAGGAAATGGGAAGAGAGCTCTTACATTGTGGGAAATTGTAGTCAATGTCATGACACAATGTCATGTATGTGAACTGCTGTATGGAAAACGAATTTACTCTGTAAACTTTTACCCAGATCACGATAAATTTTTTTAAAAATTCCCTTTCTAATTTGTTAAAACCAGACCAACCTTACAAGAGATGCTAAAGGGAGTCCTTTGGACAGAGAAGCAACAACAGCCAACAACAACTGACCACTAACACACATGATGATGTAACCCAGAAACCAACCCAGCTATGGAAGTATCCAAAGTAAATAAGCCTACAAGATTGTAAACAGGTTACCAGAGACATCAATTGACAAATGAAGACAACTACAAACCAAAAAGAGGAAAAAAACTGTGTAGTTACAGAACTTCTAGATGGTAGGGAAG